CCCCAAAACCCCAAAACCCCAAAACCCCATGAATTTAAGTAGTTGGGTGAATCGGGGAAAGCAAATAAAATAAATAATAATATTAATAGCTATCACACATAAATAATATTTATATTAAATCGAAATAATACTAGAAAGAAAATGCAAGGCTCAGGAAGAGACGATCAAAGAAGATAATAACAACCTTAGTTCGGTTTTGGCAGTGGTTAGGGTATGGGAGGTATCCCAGCACACATGGATGACAATGAAAAGATTATTATTAGTGGGCATAGGACCAAGCAAGGCAGAGGCTAGCAGTTGACATAAAAAGATCTAGTCTTAAACAGAGATCACTCTGGTATGTTTGCTGAGAAGATGGCTTCAGTTATTGGACCCTCTTACGTTTTTGCATTCTTCATTGGAGCTGGAGTTGGTCTCACCCAAATCCCTCCTCCTCAAGCCAGAAGAACCTACAGGCTATTAGCAAATAATTACCTTAACAATATTGGAAAGACTTCATCTAGATATGCCAATCACGTTGGAGCTGCAGTGTTCTTATACATGCTTGTAGGTAAATCAATGAACTTTGTGATGCAAGAAGAACTTGAGAATGTTAGCGAAGAGGCGAGAAGCGCTGTGTTCGGAGCAATGACAGGAGCTATCTATAAATGCACAAGAGGATTTAGACCCATTATATTTGCATCCATCCTTGGAGCTGCCTGTGGAAGCGCCTACACCTATGCCTGGGCCAAGGGGAACCTCAGACCATCGTTTATGTGAATAGATAATAGATTGATGCTCATCGCATTAAAGCAGTGAATCATAGTAGTATATATTAATTCAGATTTAACACTTATTTTAAGTAAAACTTTATAAATTCAAGCGTTCCAGAGATTTGATCGTTATGATTTTCATTGAATAATTAATAGTTTATATCTTCTTCATCATATTTCTAAACATATTAACAATTAATACTTTAAATTGACTCTCGCTTTAATAAAATTACACAATTAATGGATAAATATCTCAAAAAAGGAGTGATCTCACATCCAACGCATTTAGCTGCTCAAAATAATGTAGAACTCATTTCTAATGGACCAATAAATATTGTGAATTCTACCATTAATAATGAGAGTACTCTTAACGGCTTGAATTCGACGAAGGAAATGCTCAATTTGAATAATATTTATAAAGAAGTATTTAAGTCAAATACTACTCTTTGCAGCAGTATAATGCTAAAAAAATCAATGTCAGCTCATTAGAATATCAAAATATAGGATAATACATTAGGTAACTAAACATAAAATTAGGGAAATTACACATAGAATATTTGAATATGAAAATCAAAAATCAAGACAGTTGTACCTAAGACCTATCTAATGGGAAAGAAGCTAAAGAGTTCAACTAATTTGCTATGCTAAAATCATAATAGTGATGAAAAATTGTATTAAAATAATAATGAAAACGGAATCGGTACTAGAGATGCTTAATTAGCTTAAATATTTCCAGGTAATATCTTTAAACTTGAAACAAGCAGTAATGGATTAGGAACTCAGAAAAAATCGTCAATAAAATTTGTGCAGCATCAAATACCTGAAACTTTATTGATTCTTAAAAAGAATCTTTCTGATAGGAATTTTGAATTAAGAACTAAAACATCAAATAGTGATATTAATCACAACAATTTTGGGTCATTTGCTCACACACATGAAAGTACAAAAGGATTACTCTAGTTTAGTGATATGTTTAATAATAGCACCATCAATCAAACTTTGAACACAATAAATACAAAAAAAGGTTAAAGTTTCCTGGCCATTTAGACTCTTGATGCAACTTGTAATAATTAGGTAAAAGAAGATATTCTAGGCTAAAAGAATAAATAATTTATCAGCTAATTTAACTCAAACTCTATTGAAGATGCTAAATTTTTCAATAAAAGGTAATCGTTCTCAACTGCTAGTTATCACAAAAGACAAAACCTGTTAATTTCACCTTAAAATGATTCATCAACTTCTAAGGAGAAATCAAAACTAAAAAGCAAAAGAATTGCAGCAGCATAATGCATTTAAAAGAGATCCTTTGCTAATTTACTGAAGACTAAAATACTTCATAGTGATTACACATAAGAATAGCAGAATATCAATGTAACTAGGCATTAAAGTAGCTTAACAAATATTTTCTCTAATCTAAGTACCAGGAATAACTCATAATTTAAAGATTAGAATCCATAAATGTGCCAAAACTAACCCTCCCAATTTTACAGAACTTATTTAAGACCTAACCAATACTACTTTGGCCGTATCACTTCTAAGGAAGAACTTCTTAAGGCTAAACAAAATTTTGAGTTGATAATTAGCAAAAATAAGCAAACATCTCCAAAGGAGAGTCGATAAATAAAAATATAGAAGCAGTTCATTAATGTTTTCACTCCTAGTATAATAAGGAATGACCTTTAATTAGAAGATGAAGATTTTCATTCGATAAAGTCTATCAGTAATCTATCTACTAAAAATAATATGGTAATTAAAGATGAGTACTAAGCCAATATAATTTAGGAAAAGAGATCTGGAACTTATTAGAATTATGTTATGAATCAAGTTAAAAGTCCAAACTCACAAAGTTCATTTATTAGAAAGGACTATAATAGTAATAGCCTATTTATCGAGGATTAAGATAATAATTATAGAAAGTTAGCTTTGGCTTCTCCTAAAGCAGGTGCTGGTAGTACCTCATAACTTGATAACTTTGATAAATAGGTTTTATTGTCTTAGCTTCAAGTAAGTAATCAGTATATTCCCACTGAGACACAAGAAAGCATCACAATGGAAATAGTATATTAATGAATGCCTCAATTATTACCAATTTTACATTATATCTTATGAAAGATAATATAGCTATATCACTAATAACTTTATCTTATGTTTTGTGGAAATTGTTACTTACGGGGTTTTGGGGTTTTGGGGTTTTGGGGTTTTGGGG